TCATATTTTTAATTTTATAATTTCTGCATGCCATCTTAACCAGATTTAAACTGATGATCTATAATCCGGAAAAATCGATAATCCGGAATCACCGAAGTCCCGACGAGTCCGGATTAAAGACTTTTGACTGTAGTAATATGGCACAGTGGAGTTTCTCACCTGTCGCCAAACAAGGGCATATATAAGAGTAGTTCCTATGAATTACATAAGATACATTTTATATGAAATTATTTTAAGCAAATGAAAAAATTTCAGAAATCCGTGCCAAGTTTGCTAAATATGGTCTAATGTGCTCAATTTTAATATGTAGTATAATATTTTAAACCGAGAAAATTTTTTTATTCCTCTTGATTTTATTTATTCTTAATGCCATATATAACACATATTTATGTATAATATAAATATATATATATATGAGCAACGTATTGTAAATAATGATTGCAGAACATTTTTGTAATTTTTGACAGGTTTATGCTCCAAATTCTAGCATGGAAATCAGGCTCATAATTTCACTCATTAAATGAATTTATTTTTAATATTTGATCACACTCTCATTCTTATATAACAGGGTTGGCCAAACTTCATGTCAGTAAGAGCCGCACGTTTGAATTCAGGAATGTTCGAGAACCGCATCTAGGTTTTGTAAAAGACACAAGTTTATATTTACATCATTATAGAAGTAGTTGAGGAGGTTTTAAATAAAAAGAAATCCCTGATAACATTGTTAAAAAGAGTCTAAACTAATTACTTCTTTTTGGACACTGAATAGTTTTAGTTTACCATATTTCATCCATATGTTTTATATCCACGAGCTGCACAAATTGCCTGCGAGAGCCATATCAGGCTCGCGAGCCGCACTTTGGCCACCCCTGTTATACAGTCAAAAGTCGTTAATTCAGACACCCATAATCCGGACCTCAAAGCTAAAAACTTTCTGCGCATGCGCCGCATAAGACCTTTACGAGTGCACGTAAGACCTTTACGACTGCGCATATGCGTGTGCACAAGCGCAGAATATGTTTTCACATGCGCATTTAATGTATAACAGACGGTATAAGCTAAAATTATCTAATTATCTATTTCAGTTAATGTTGATGATTGCGTTGTTCCTTAATCTTCGAATTGGATCCGGCTTATTATTTTTTGCAGACTGTAAGAGCAATTTTATAAAAGTAAGCTTGAACTTTCGATTATGTCAAATAGAATTTCCGATGCTGGAGCTCCCAAAGGATCTACAAAATGAAAGTATATTTCGATGTCCATCAAAGAAAAAGTAGAATTACTCCAAAAAATGGATAAAGGCACATCCTTTGTTTATCTAACCGTTCCGAAATCTGTTTATCAATTTCATGCTGCTCTGCGCGGGGGGAGAGGGGGAACGTCGCAGCGCACAATGAACTGGAAGTTTATCTGTCAGCACTATGGTTATCTTCAGGGCAAATGTTTTTATAGTTTATTCGGCTTATAATTCCTTATTAAATGTAGTATTTCATCTCGATGTACTCCGTCTTTGATATGATTTAAATCAAATTCCTTGTCATTATAAATATCATGAATACAAATCAAATAGTTTTCCGGTTGCAATTTTCTAATTTCGTCTATGCATAATGTATGCTTTACACATGCGCGCGTTAAAAGAAATGTTTAATAAAGTAAACAAATAAATATTAAGCTTTTTTTTGCAAATTTTGATACCCTTTAGATCATAATTGCTCATTATTTTATAAATTACGGTTTCATATTTTTAATTTTATAATTTCTGCATGCCATCTTACCAGATTTAAACTGATGATCTATAATCCGGAAATATTGATAATCCGGAATCACCGAAGTCCCTACGAGTCCGGATTAAAGACTTTTGACTGTATAACATATTTTACAAGCATAAAATACAAAAAGAATTAACATAATAGCGATCTTCATTTTTTTCACTGGGAAATATTTTTCTTAGTGATTTTCCTTAGTAAAGATTTAAAAAATCTACAAAACTTAGCAATGTATCAGGAGACCGGGAAGTATGATGAAAACTGTGAGTCTCCCAGTTAAACCAACTGAGTTAGCAGCTATGGGTTTTCATCCGCAGAGACCCCGTTGGCGCTTCGGGAAAGAACCCATTGACGCCGTTGCATTTTTACTCGCCAAGCTCGGGGTTCATCCAAAGAATCATCGACGATGAGCCGAGTCGTAAACGTGATTTTTAGCGCATGTAAATTCAAGTTAGCAGACGAAACAATATATTAAGCATATGGTAGTAAAAATTCAGAGATAATAAGCATTTAGATGTAAAACTAACCGGTTAAACGTGATATACGAAAATGAATTTGTATTAAATTCAAGTTAGCTCAAAAAAGAATTTATTAAGAAATAAGACACTATATCAGCATTTCGTACTTTTCCGTTTCGCCGGCGCAAATCTCGCCAAGCAGACTTTGTTGGCGACAACATACAGTATACACATAAAAAATGTTAATTCTAAGAATTTCACGTAAACTACGCTACTAAAATCTAATTCTCTCAGTAATTATCTATATTAATTTCAAGTTAAACCTTAATTTGGAATACAAGTTTAAATGCAAGAATTATTTCAATTCGTACGAATAGCTTACTCAGAAATTATGTAAAACCGCAGTGCTTTACTTCGCTAGTGCATTCTCATTAGAATTGATGAATTTACACTTGATTTCGCCTTCGGATGAGCGGTGTAATTGCGTTCTAATTGACTTAATACCGTGAATGTCTTAGGGCATGAAATTTAAATATCGTGTAAAAATTCTATATTATTGTATGTCAGTATTGAAAGAAACAATCTGATAAGAAATGGCTTCAACTTGTTTTGAAACTGAGACGTAAAAGGTTACCAGCGAAGACATTCCGTCTGGCATCAGTGAAACCATTATTGGCGACTTTATCGTTTGCGCCGGCAAAACGGAAAAGTACCCAGTATTTATAACGAAATTAAAAATTCATTTAAAAAATATAAATTAGTATTAATCTACTGAAATTAACTGGTTAAACGTGATATACAAAAAAATTCCAGTTAAAACAGAAAACAATATATTCCTTACACCAGCAGCGGTTTGCTAATTTTGATGACCATGGTGAAGCATCAAACTATTCAGTCATCTTAGATAATCAATATTTTTTTATTTCAATTTAATCATCTATTTATGTCACACCTGCCATCATCTGAAAGGTTATTGTTAGAAAAGCATTAATAATATATTATCTTGTTAAAATTTTACGCCATAAAAACTGATTTATTCTCATAATTTTAGATGACAATAACCAATAATAAAAATAAAAGCATTACTTAATTATTTAAAATGCACATGCATATTTTTGCGGCCTACGAAAACAAATTATTTTAGAGGTTGGAAACCTCATGGTTCTTAGAGCTGTTAATAATTAAGAACACTACGTGAACAGCCGTATTACAAATTAGCATTCACCCCTCCCGCCGTATTTTCTTCCTTTCATCCCGAACCGAGAACCGGCATCTATCTACGAAAATATTTCTATCTATTCTTTGTTAAAAAATTCAGTAAAAATAATAATAAATAAGAGAAGAATAATATAAATCTACACATGCGAACAATGACAGTGATAATTCAACAAAATTAACCCAAGAGGAATGGTTGCTAACTTCGAACAAGCAAATAGTATAAATCCGCTGGGTTACCAGGTTTGCACTATTATCGCCAAAGTTGGCGATGTTTACATTTACCGGGTTCTCTGCGGATGAGAATTATGAATAATGCAAAATACACTATGCTATCCAACACACTAAAAAAATTTTTGATACTGCTAATACAATCCAATTTCTATGGATATTATTAATAATAACTGCACTGTATACCTAAATAAACATAAATCAACTATTTTTAAGCTCTACATTGAAAATGAAAGCTTCTGTTAGCTAAAATCCAAAATAATTTATCCCACATATCTGGTTTGTAAAATATATTAGATGAAAAGAGCAGATAATTTCAAAAATATATCACTTTTAAAATTTTTTAATATGTAGTCTGCATTTAATACTGTTTAAATATTTTAATATATATAAAGTAAAACTTTAACATATCAGGAAAATTGTATTGTTTAATTTATTAAATCACATAATTCATTAACAGATTGTTTAAGATAAGTATCATAAGCAACAAACACTATAAAAAAATCGCAAATTTTAAAATGTTTATCTAATGAATGTATTGACTTCCAACAGAAAGAACTATTTTATATGTCAAAAACACAAAGATGTTCTACAATCATTATCTACAATTAGTTTCTCATTTATACATTATAAATAAATGTGTACTATATATGACATTTAGAATAAATAAAAAATTAATCATCAGCTCAAAATATTATACTACATATTAAAATTGAGCACATTAGGCATATTAAGCAAACTTACCACGAAATTTCTGACATTTTTCCTTCGCTTAAAATAATTTCATATAAAATGTATCTTATATAAATCATAAACTGCAAAGCAAAAATATGAGAAGTGCATGAATCCGTAAGACATCGAATCTTAGCACTAATAAATATGTTTGAATTACTATAGATCGCAAGATCTCAGATCCTTTTAAAATTTTCTACTTTACAGGATTTACAAAGGAAGGAAGGAAGAAAAGAATATCTAAAGATCCATTACGTTGCATAAATTCAAGGAAAAAGAAATGTTAATACAAATACTACTACTTATTTAATTCAGATCCAGACAAAATTTGGGGGTGGTTTATGCTCCACCGAAATCAGGCGCGTAATTTTATTCGTTAAATGAATTAATTGTTAATATTTCATCACACTTTCATTCTTATAAAACATATTTTATACGCATAAAATATAAAAAGAATGAACATAATAGCGATCTTCGTTTTGTAGAATAAAAGATCCAAATCATGGTTTTAAATGCAGCTGACACAACAAACAAAATTCAGTACAGCTCATCCCACATAAATAATAAATGTTTAAAATTCTATGTATTTTCCCCTTACCCAAAAGCAATCCCGAAAATCCACTGGCATTTTGTAAACATCAGTGCTTTGTGCTGCAACAAATACGTTCAAATTATACCATGTCGAAAAACAATAATAAAAATTAACGATAAGACCACTTTACACTTAACATTCAATCAGGCTGTCCACGGAACAACCATACATTACGTAACGCCTACTAAATGGTCAGTTTTAATTTAATACCGGAAGAGCAAAATGGCCAGCATATTCATCTGAAGTAAATTATAGACCACGTTTAAAGTAATTTTTACGTATATTATTTTCAGCTTTCATCCATATTTTCTTATCTTTTTTAACATTTTCCGGATTATAAATCAAATTGCGCCTTTCATTTTTTCGACGCTACAAAAATAATATACCATAGACGTTTTTAAATTAATATTTTTTGCTATAAATTACATAATTTATCTATATTCTGTATTTTAAAATTTTAGTAATATTTTTATACTCTTGTAATGATTTTGCAGCTACTAAAATAATGCAAGTTAAGGCGTTTGCTATTTCAAAACTGTAACTGTAATGTTTTAATAGAGACAGGGCCCAGGCAGCCCATCGGGACAGAAAGACTTAGCGGGTGCAAAACAAGACGTCTGTATGTCCAAAGAATCTCTAGGGGATATCTCACTATAGATTCTTTGGTATGTCTGTCGGAAAATTATAAACAGCGGGATGTATGTGGAGTTTTGAAAATTTGTAATTTTAGTAGTAGAATTTGGAATTCTCTTCTTTCCTATTAAAATTTTACCTTTGCATAGGAACTGCTGTAGTACCACATGGAATTCATTTATTGGGATCGTAATGAACCACATTGTTTCGACGATTATTCTTTAATTTTGGTGAGTGTGATAATAATATACTATATTATTGATTCTAATTTTAAGTACTACGTAATTTTCATTACGCTGAAAATATACGAATTGTTAAAAGCAAATTCGGCGTAGTATAAATTTGTTGGCGTATGAAGGAGATAAAGTTAGGAAATCCTTAAGTAAATTTTATACGTGATTGCCGAATTCTTCAGAAATCTTGTATTTTCCTGTTCCATCGCAAAAAATTTTTCTCTGTAGTATTTGCTTCAACAAATACTATAGTAATAAAATTTATTATTATCAGCTTTGGTAAAAATTTCCTTAATTCATAAAATTTTAATCTAATTTAAGGTAATTTTATTATTTAAAATTATAAACAATAGTATTGAAGAAACATTGAAAGAAGTAGCTGGTGTCTTGCTGGAGGAACTACTCTCCATTTTCAGATAAAATTTTAGGTCCTCCTTTGAAACAAAATATTCTCCATTAATTACAGTTTAAATTTTAATGAAAAATTCAATATCTCAAGCTTTGCAGAAGGGTAACACATTGGGGCATAGAAGATAAAAATATTTTAAGTAGTGGCAACAAATTTCTGTTAAATCACTGAGTTTTCTGATTAAATTTAAAACATAAATGTCGTGCACGCTGCTGAGTGGAAACACATTGCTTTTAAATCATTAAATTTGTTAATTGAAATTTTATTAAATTTGCAAAATATATAAAATAGATTTTGGTTGATCTTTACATTATGGTAACTTGGCGAAAATTTGGCGACCAACTCTCCTACAGCAACCCTCTATTTTTTTTCCCCGCCGCCATTTTGTCTTCACGAAGTAAAGACATGTTCTTTTCTTTTTATCTACTGAACACTTCTTCCAACAATCTACTAGCCGAATTACACTTATGCTAGAAATTTTTATCAAACAAAACTGCTTAATCATGACAAATATTCACTGCAAAATTAGGAAAAACTGCACAATACCATCCTCCTTACGCATTTTTCAAATACACATACACATACATTTACAACCGCCGACTTATTTTTACTTAAAAAAACATCCCAGAATTGCACAAAAATGGCATTGCGCACACTCTTCACTATATCCATGTACACTGCTTTTTTCTCATAAATTAAAAAAATTTCACGAAAATACATGACAATTTTCTCAATCTTTAAACCCGGTAAAAAGAACATATATGAAATTACCATGATCGCGAAAAAGTATTTTACCCTTTAGAAATATCAACATTTCCACATATAAAATAAATAGAATATCCAAAAAACTTTTACCTCTAAATCATCTATTACATTATACACGTCACCAACGAATTCATACCCCAAGCATTACAAATACTTAATATTAAATATTTAAATTATTTCCATGCACGTTTATTTCAACTTAAACGTATACCAAATTCCTACAAACATAAAATTCACAAAATAACTATCATTTCATTAAAATATAATTAAATTCAAAAAACACTACTTAAAATATAAATGAGCACATACATTAAATTAATAAAATTACCTTACAATCCTAATTACTTTAAACTAAATCATTGCTAATAACAATTTTCCCAATAATACCAAATTCCTTTCCACCTTACATTTACAACAATGCATAAAAATAATATCCTCAATAATTAAAAATACTAACTTACCTAATCTTCTTCAGAATCTTGATTACGTGGCGGATACACTTTTCTTCCTTCTGTTTCAGAATCTTTAAAATCATACTTTCTTCAAAGCAAGATACCAGGTAAAAATAATAACATAATAAAACCTCTTTATTTCTCTCTCGCACAACCTTAAAAAAACATTTATTACTATCCTTTTTCAATACCACTAAATACCCATTTCGAATTCACTTTATTTACGGCCATGGGATCCAAAAATTCACAAACACTATTTCACACAACACAGAATAAAGCCAAATACAAAATTACCAGATTTTTTCCCGATTAAAGAACAGTAATTCAACCATTAATATCACATGACATATCCCATGATCTCTCCTTTCCCTCACACAAAATAATGGGTAATCAGAACTGAATACTACTCACATTCTTAACAAAGTCTAACTAACCTAATCTTCTTCCGAATCTTCCTTACATGGTGGATACACTTTTATTATGGATTCAATAAAATTACTGAATGATTTTTTTTTCCGAATTTGATTGAATTTGATAAAAAAAAAATTCTCTTTATCACATCTACAATTCACTTTAGACAGCGCCATACAATCCCAAAATTATTCAAACCCTACTTCACACAACACACAATGAAGCTTAATACAAAATAATATACATCCACAGATACTTGTCCAATTTCCCCCTTTTCCTTTTCCGATTAAGAAAGAACCGTAATTCGTCCATTAATATCACATGACATATCCCATGATCTCTCATTTCCCCCACACAAAATAATGCGTAATCGGAACTGAGTACTGCTCACATTATTACCAAAGTCCCAGGTAGTAACCTTTATCGCCTCCAAAGTGTCGCCAAACTACCAGTTACCATATTGTAAAGATCAACCTAGATTTTTAAAAATTCAAAATTTGGATGAAGAACTACATGTATTGAAAATTTGATGGCTCTCGTTGCCACAGTTTTTCTGCAGTGTGAGAAGTATAACGCATAAATACATAAACACATACATGCAGATCTACATAGAAATAGAAAGTTTAATAATAGAAATAACTCGAATTGGTAAAATTGTGGAATATTTCTGGTTCAGTGACATGTTCTTTGTTTTTGATTACTGTTTGTATTTTTTCTTCTTTTTAAACAGTGAATCGGATAGAGTAGACATAATACAAGGGACCCCTTGTATTATGTCTACTCTACTCGTTTATGGCAAAGTTGTTGTTTGATTTATCGCCAAGTTGTTGTTTCATTTATGGTAGCCTCAGTAGTTGAATGTTATGGAAACCCTATTGTGACATGTCAACCTATTTTCACTTTAAAAAAAATCCCCAAATTGCACAAAAATGGCATTGCGCACTCCTTTGACTTTATCCATGTACACGTCAACCTATTTTCACTTTAAAAAAATCCCAGAATTGCACAAATTTGCATTGTGCACTTCCTTTACTTTGTCCATGTACACATTGATATATTTTCACTTAAAAAGTCAAAGGAGCACCAAATTCTGCAGTATCTACAAAATACATTTTAAACCAAACAATAAAATAACATAAAAAAAAGAAAAACATGTTATACATTTAAGCACTACCAAAAGCAAATATTCACTTACCATGATTTTTTAGTTCGCTTTATACACCCAGAGCCATGTAAAAATCAAAATATCAATCATTCTCAAATGACTTTTTTCAAACCAGGTACTCTTTCTGATCGAACGCTTCACATAGTGACCATCTGAACCTTTCTTCCTACAAACCCATTCAAATCCATCTAAACGGTTTTTATGTTCGACTAGACGCATATCCTTCCTACATACAGGACACTTATAATTGCTACTAAGTAAACCTTCATTTACACACCAGTCAATTAAAGCTCTTTCCTCCTTTCACTCCAAATCGTACAGATACCGTAATTTCCGGAAGAAAAGCCGCATCAGCGTAAACGCTGCACTCAAGAAAAATGGCGGGAAAAAAATTCAAATTACACAGAAAGGCCGCATCAGCGTAAACGCCACAATAGATTAAATTGCGCATGACATCGTCGTGGGCCGTATAGATGCAAAAACTCAACCTAAGTCCTGATATATGACATACCAGTTAAGAAAATGCATGAAATAAAACCATAACTCAAAAATAAATTAAAGGTAAGAAATGTACAGCTTCTGTGCCGTTTAGAGACATTTTCAAAAATTTTCCGCTCCTTTCTTACTTAAAAACTATCCAACAAGTACTTTGTACTCAAAACTGATGGGATCTGTATTTGGCAGAATGCCAAGAAAAATCCATTCATGCTGAAGGGGAAATACGTCAGAGTTCGTTATTGCGAGGCAGATGGAGTCGTGTCCGCCTTTGAAAAAAATTGCAGAAAAGGCAGGGGTGGGGAGAGGATGGGGGTCCTGGAAGATTCATCGAATGGCAAGAGGAGAGAGACTATTCAAACTGATGAGAATGTTGATTTGAAAGGGAGAAGAATGTTATTGTTCTGAGATCTCGTTTAGGGTGAATAAGGCATGTAGGTTCCATTCAAGGGAAAGAATGTAAACAAAATAACGTTCACAAAAAGCAACTGAGTGGTCTTTTGTGTGGGAACAGCACCATTCTATGTACAATGACAAGGCCATCCAAACTATGTACAACTGACCATACATAGGAAATATTTTAATTTTTAGTGGACCTAAACGCCACATGGGTAGAAACGCCGCATCCACTGAAAATTTAAGTTTTAAACACGTAAACGCCGCGGCGTTTCTTCCGGAAATTACGGTACTTCAAATTAATCTTACTACATTCGGCCATTCTACCGTCTAAAGAATCAAACCAACACACACCACAAAACACTTACAAAACATCCCATGATTCAAAATTTCCCAGAATCATGCACCTGATTGCATCACAATAGGGTTTCCATAACATTCAACTACTCAGGCTACCATAAAAGAAACAACAACTTAGCGATAAATCAAACAACAACTTCACCATGATACAAGGGGTATCTTAAAGTCTACTCTACCCGTTACAATTATAGCATATTAAAATTTAAGTTAATTCTAATTTTGAAATTATCCGACTACAAAAGGTAGTCAAAAGTCCCTAACAGAATTTAAAATAACAACAAAACTGTCGCCTTTTATTTGAACTCGATGCTACATAAATTTTTTCATGTACAAATTTAAGTACTGTCATGTTGCTCTTTCATTCTTTATTGCATCATTCTGATGAACATCGTGGTCTTTTAATGTTTTGAAAATCTCTACTGCTTGCTGTTCTGTAGAAGTCAGATTCCTGAATTTTAATTTTTTTTTTTTTTTTTTTTTTAAATGAAGAGAAAATTAACTTTCTTAGGAAACCTAGATTAGCATTACATAAAACTAAAGCCAAGTTCTTATGTGACATTATGCTTTACATTATTGGCAATAAATTGCACTGTTTGGCAACATTGTGTAAAGTAGCTGAGAGCAAAATTTGTAACTACGTCTTTTTTTAGTGAAACAAATTGGCATGGGAAAGAACGACTATGCAAAGAAATTATAGAAGAGTTTCTCAAAAAACATAATGTTTTATTTTTTTATGTATCATGTAATCCTTATTTAATAATTAAAATTTGTTTTAAATTGCTAAAGTGTTTTTTCGGTTGATCTTTACATTATGGTAACTTGGCGATTTTTTGGTGAAAATTTGGCGACCAACTCTCCTACAGCAACCCTCTATTCTTTTTTCCCGCCGCCATTTTGTCTTCACAAAGTAAAGACATGTTTCTTTTTTTTTTTTTTTTTATCTACTGAACACTTCTTCCAACAATCTACTAGCCGTATTACACTTATGCTAGAAATTTTATCTAACAAAACTGCTTAATCATGACAAATATTCACTGCAAAATTGGGAAAAGTGCACAATACCATACTCCTTACGCGTTTTTCAAAATAACACATACACATAAACCATGTACACGTCGACTTATTTTTACTTAAAAAAACATCCCAGAATTACACAAAAATGGCATTGCGCACACTCTTCACTATATCCATGTACACTGCTTTTTTCTCATAAATTAGAAAAATTTCACGAAAATACATGACAATTTTCTGAATCTTTAAACCCGGTAAAAAGAACATATATGAAATTACCTGATCACGAAAAAGTATATACCCTTTCCAAATATGAACATTTCCACATATAAAATAAATAAAATATCCAAAAACTTTTACCTCTAAATCATCTATTATATTATAAACGTCACCAACGAATTCATACCGCAAGCATTACAAATACTTAGTGTCAAATATTTAAATTATTTCCATGCACGTTTACTTCAACTAAAACGTATACCAAATTCCTACAAACATAAAATTCACAAAATAACTATCATTTAATTAAAATATCACTAAACCATGTACACGTCGACTTATTTTTACTTGAAAAAAAATCCCAGAATTGCACAAAAATGGCATTGCGCACACTCTTCACCATATCCATGTACACTTCTTTTTCTTATAAATTAGAAAAAATTTCACGAAAAATGCATGACAATTTTCTGAATCTTTAAACCCGTTTAAAAAGAACATATATGAAATTACCTAATAACGAAAAAGTATATATACACCCTTCCAAATATGAACATTTCCACGTATAAAATAAATAAAATATCCAAAAACTTTTACCTCTAAATTATCTATTATATTATAAACGTCACCAACGAATTCATACCGCAAACATTACAAATACTTAGTGTCAAATATTTAAATTATTTCCATGCACGTTTACTTCAACTAAAACGTATACCAAATTCCTACAAACATAAAATTCAACAAAATAACTATCATTTAATTAAAAATATAATTAAATTCAAAAACACTACTTAAAATATAAATAAGCACATACATTAAATTAATAAAAATTAGCTTACAATCCTAATTACTTTAAATTAAATCATTCCTAATAACAATTTTCCCAATAATACCAAATTACTTTACTTCCACCTTACATTTAGAACAATGCATAAAAATAATATCCTCAAATAATTAAAAATACTAACTTACCTAATCTTCTTCAGAATCTTGATTACGTGTCCGATAAACTTTTCTTATTTCTGTTTCAGGATCTTTAAAATCATACTTATAGTTCACAGCAAGGTACCAGGTAAAATAAATAACTTAATAAAACATCTTTACTTCTATCTCGCACAACCTTAAAGAAACACTTATTACTACCCCTTTCAATCCCACTAAATACCCATTTCGAATTCACTTTAGTTAGGGCCATGGGATCCAAAAATTAACGAACACTGTTTCACACAACATTCCATTACAACACAAGCCAAATACAAAATTTCCAGATTTTTTCCCGATTTCCCCCCTTTTCCGATTAAAGAACCGTAATTCATCCATTAATATCACATGACATATCCCATGATCTCTCCCTCACACAAAATAATGCGTAATCAGAACTGAGTACTGCTCACATTATTACTAAAGTCCCAGGTAGTAACCTTTATCGCCTCCAAAATGTCGCCAAACTACCAGTTACCATATTCTAAAGATCAGCTGTTTTTTCTTTTGTTATGTTGATGATAATTATTGACTTGATAAATATCGATAGATAAGTGATCTTTCTAAAAAAAGTCACCAACCTGCACCTTATAAGTAACTTTTAACATGATTTAATTGTGTTCTGAAAGTTGTCTATACTTTCATTTTTGCATTCCTGCCAGTGTGAAAAAAAAATCCTATCAATTTTTATGGAACTACTTAGATATGGTTGTTTATATGTATGCAATGAATATATCTATGTTAGCCAAGTAATAGTGTTCTTTTGTTACTTAATTTCACAAGATGAGGATACTGTTATTGCAAATTATCAACCCAGTAATCAACTGACATATATATATGTTTCTAAGTGTTACCTTTTTTAATTAAAAAAAAATTAAGAAAAATGAGAAAGTTTCGAATTTTTCTAAAATTTATTATTGAATATTTATCTGTTTCATTTTAGCCATCTGTAGCGGTTGGTAATGTTGGACAGCTTGCTGTGGATTTACTACTTAATAATCTGAGAGTTGAGCATCTTGGTTATATACATCATCCATCTATCTTGCCTATAGTTGGTGCTGATCCATTTGATCCTGGAAGGAAGAAACTAGCTACTAGCTGTGAATGTTAGCATTATTATTATTATTACTATAGTATAATTAATTAATAATTCTCATTTGTGTATTATTCCTTTATATTTTTCATCGTACCTTGAACTTTTTCTTATATGATAGTAGTACTTATTAAAAAGAATGGTATGACATAATACTGAAGTAAAAAAAAAAAAAAAAAAATCGGTGTAAAATTAAGAATACAAATCATTAATAATGCAGCCATGTATATAATAGTATGATGAAAAGTCATGAACTTTTTGCTGTTTTTGGAGAGCATTGGCAAATTCACTACTGACTAATTTTCTGCCATACTAATATGCAAAAGGTAATACCATTTCGAAATGATACCAAGCTAAAAATTCCATGTAGGAGCAATCAATCAATAAACTTTAAAAAGCAAGAAACATTGTTAATAAAACACCTAACTTTTTTACTTCTTTCTATGAAGTAAAGGAAGTATTGTAATCACAAATAATTCCAGATATCATATTTCAATGAAAATATCAGTTAGAGTTGACTTAAGGGTACCCCTTGTATTATCGCAAAGTTGTTGTTTCATTTATTGCCAAGTTGTTGTTCAGTTTATTGCCAAGTTGTTGTTTCATTCATGGTAACCTGAGTAGTTGAATGTTATGGAAATCCTATTATGATGTAATTGTTTCCATTAATCCGGGAAATTTTGAATCGTGGGATGTTTTGTAAGGGCTTGTGTGGTGTGTGTGGTTAGGAAATACATTGCTTGTTTCATTGTTTAGACGGTAGAATGGCTGAATGTAATAAGATTAATTTGAAGTTTCTGTACGATTTGGAACGAAATGGGGAAAAGTGCATTAATTGACTGGTGTGTAAATGAAGGTTTACTTAGTAGTCATTTTCGGGGCAGTCCGGAATACATAAGATATTTTTTACTCTTATTTTTGTGAATTTATGTGGTGACACCAATATACGGATTCTAGTTCAGACAATTTTTTTTTTGGATGCTGTTAAGGAATTTTGTGTGCCACAGAGATAAGTGGATATTTGCTTTGTGTAATGCTTAAATGCATAATGTTAATGCATAATCTTTTTTTATGTTATTTTATTGTTTGGTTTAAAATGTAGTTTACTGAGATTATGTATTTTTTGTTTGCCTTTACTGTAGAATTGGGTGCTTTTTTGACTTTTTAAGTGAAAATATATGGATGTGTACCTGGACGAACTCAAGGGAGTGCGCAAAGTTTAGTTTGGGCAATTCTCTGATGTTTTTTGAAGTGAAAATAGGTCGATGTGTACATGGATAAAGTCAAGAGAGTGCGCATTGCCATTTTAAAAAATTGCAATTCTGGGATTTTTTTAAGTGAAAGTAGGTCGTTGTATACATGGATACCGAGTTTGTGCAATTCTTTGTCTTGTTATTTTGGCTTTGTGTAGCAGCGATTTTTGGAGGGAAAATTGCCGCTATGCAAACCAAAATAACAAGTCAAAGATTTGCACAAATTCGGTATCCATGTGCGCCAAAAATCGCCAAGGGGTACCCTAAAATATACTTTTACCAAAATATCCATTTTGACCTCTATCGAATGCAATTTAATAAGGCGACCATGTCCTGAATTTCCCAGGACAGTCCTGAATTTTCAAACCCTATCCCGATTTTTTACAACTCATTTTTTGGTCCCGTGTTTATAGCATTTGTCTCGAAAAACTAGTGCGAGAACGTAAGGCTTCGTTCAGTTGGGAGTATAAATGACATAACTGGTTTAAGGCGAGCTTCGTTGCTAGGTAAATGAAAGGTTGGTAGGTTGCTATACTGTAAATAAATAAAGTGAATTTTAAAGAGTGCATTTATTCTATTGTGGTTTATGTGCTATTCACAAAGTAGATCTAATTCAATTCAGTAATTTTAAATGAAATGCAGGAAAAAATGCATATTCCATGTATAAGAAAGTCATGTGGTGTGCACATCAGATTTTTTAGAAATGTGAAAGAGCTTGATGAATATAAAAGGAAATGTTATTTATATACTGCATTTTACTGAAGTTCTGTAAAAGTTATTACTGCCAAGTATGTGATTGCACTCTATAAAAATTTCCAGTTAACTGTGAAGTAATTTTACATACTTAAATTGCAAATGTTGTACTCTTGCAACTGCATCTTTTTCTGATGTAGGATATTTTTAAATATATGAGTTTTACTTTACTTTGTTTTTAAAGATGAAGATACTGATATTGTAAATGATTAACTGCAATCAAAATTTTGTAATTTCCAATTAGAAAACATGCAAAATGTTATAGAGGCAGCAAGAATTGATACGTAGTGGAATATAATTGGAAAATGAAAAAGTTATTTATAAGTGAAGTTTAAAAGTGAAATTTTAAAATATTGTGGATTTTCTTAAATAATGTTGGCCACTTTGACAGTTCCTCATAGCAATGTGGAATGTGAGAAGACTTCAATTAATCCTTCGAGTGGTGTGGGTGTTTGGAACCATCGTGAAGATTTGCATTTAAACAGTCTTTATTAGCTAAATTTGTACACTTATTTTAGTCTCTATTTTCATAAACTTACATTTATTAAGATGACATTTTTATTATTAAAGAAGGTAAGAAAGCAAATATATTAAATTATAAGCTAATGTATACTAATACAAATATCTCAATAGACAAAATATCTCATGATCAGATAAAGCTGGTCATGGCGCTCAGAAGTTTAAAACATCGAATAAATTTGAATTCGTGCATGACAGTATACTGGAAAAACATTTATTAGCAGAAAGCCTGAATTTGATATTATTTGTAGTTTATTTTTTAAAAATTTCTTTTAATATATTTTTAGTGTTCAAAAATAATTTGTATTAGTAAAAAAAAAATTCCCTGAAATTAGCTTGGTAGGTTAGCAAGTATATAGTAGTACTATCAAATTCCAAAATGGTTATTATGTGCTGTGATTTGAATCAAAGATGTTTTATGAGATTAAGTTAGAACTTTGAACAGGTCATTCAAAACATGATATCTGATTATATAACTGATATTCTTTGCATCTAGATAGATATATTGTCATGTTGATATGTTGTATTACTTTTTAAATTATCAAAAGTGTTCCCTGCCATAATTTTACTTCATCATATTGTGCTTTTGAATACTACCGTATTGCTTTTTTACCCTGTATGTTGTTACTGTATGCATATGAGACTTGTTTAACATCGTCTTTCATTTTTTAACATCATCTGAAATTTTATGTCAGTAACACATTGACTGTCAGTCACTAGAGTTAGATTGATTGTTATTGCCACCCATATGGAAGTAAATTGTATTCAGATGTCAACATACTTATAATAAGAAATATAATTTAAAAATATTAATAAAAGATAATTATGTGATACCTAAGTATTATTTAGGCCTTTTATTAAAGTATTTTTTAATTACACAGCAGCGCATGATTGGCACTACATGTCAGAATTTCCCCAAATGCCACTTTACGTGATGGTATGTGGAATGTAAAAAATAAATTAAAATAAGAAAACTAAGTGACAGTATGCATTATTTTTATATCAATATGTACTACAGACAACTATACATATTACAAAGGAATTTATAACAAGAAAATTACAAAGACATTATTTAAAAAGATACATCTAGAATGTTATTTGTGTATTATCTTTGAATAATCTAAGTAATACCTGGGAGATCCTTCACAAAATTTGCAAACATATATTGTATCTTTACGTTTCCCTTGGGAATAGCAACTTTTGCATTGCTTTCTTAGAATTTTTCCATATTTTCTTTCTTCCTGTGTACTCAGCACATGTTCAGATTCAGACTGATCACACACAGGAGCACGAAGAACAAATGGCTGTTTCAGTAAACTTTGTATCACTACTAAACGGTAGTCATACAGTGATGTATTTTCATTCGAATACTTATTATAAATAAAGTGAGAATTGTTCATCATTATTTGCAAAATATGCACAAATATTTTTGTGGGCCACCTAATTGTTTTTCTCTCACAAGGATAATAAACAAGCATCTAATCTTGCTTATCAATACCGGCCATAAATTTATTATATTGAATTACAGGAAGAGGTTTCGATTTAATTTCACCTCTTTTGTTTGTTATTTGCGCCATATTATTTTTATATTCACTAGAAATATAAGTGACATGTCTCTTATCGTGCCACTTTGTAATCATCACGCCATTAGCATATTTTGCTACAGTTTGCCCTTTCTTCAGTTTTTTTTTTTTTTTTTTTTTTTTTTGTTGTTGTTTTTTTGTTTGCCTCTTTTGAAAATGTCTTTCTGTTCTTTCTGATTATCCCAGTACAATGAGTTTTTGTATCAGCAAGACATTTTGCCAGTTCATAGCTGTTATAATAATTGTCCATAAATGTGCTATGTCCTACATCCAGCATTCCCTCGAGTAAATTCATAATGACTTTTTTGCATGTTCTTTTCCACCAGAATCATCCAACATGCCTGTATATACCATAAATTTCAGAACCATACCATCAGGGGTTCTGATCATGTACAACTTGATACCATATTTGTGACATTTATTTGGTATATACTGTCTGAATATAAGCTGTCCATGCCACAATACCATTGATTCATCTAAACTAATCTCACGCCCTGGGTAATATATTTCAGATACTCACGTGTTGGACAAATTCACCGTATCTCTTACTTTATACAGTCGATCCTTTTGAAGCTCTGTATTCTAATCTGGGATTTTTGCGAAGTGCAATGCCCTCAGTAACAACAAAAACCGATTTCTGCTCATATTTTCTGAAAATGCACGTAAACCAAACAGTGAATCTGTTTTCCAGTAATCTTGTATACAGTTGATTCGTATAGTTCCCATATGTAGGATCAATCCCACAAATACCAAGAGTACCTCTTTTTTGGTGTCCTTCCAAGCATTAATGCGAGTATGTTTCTTTTTTTCATTACGAAAGAGTACTTTATGAGCATATCATTAGTTTCAGCAACTATTTCTTCCAAGATATGATCAGTGAAAAAATGATGAAAGATATATATAGAATTGTTAGCTGAAACAGGTTAGAGCAAACACTCGGATTTTATGAAAGGAAATTTTTTCGTTGATGTTGAATCGTTTTCCCAAATAACATTTTCCGCCATAGTTGAATCATCCTGCTGACATGCAACTTCTTGCATGATTCATTCTTTATCATCATCGGAATCCGAAATATCATGGGTACCAGTCGGAGGAACGAATTCTTCGTCACTGTCATAACTAAAATCGCTCAAGTACTCATTTGATAGCTCAGCCAGCAAATTTGCTATTTCATCATATGTAAGAGCCTTTATATATTGAACTTTTCTTTTTTTTGGGTGAGAAGGCCCTGCACTATCATCTCTATAACTCATACTAAAAGATTATTTTTCAATAAAAAATAAAACAATAATTTCAAAACCGCGATTATTTATGCGTAGTTTCTAATTATCACTCCACGCCAATACCAGAAGAAATGCCCAGCATGCAATGCCAAATGAACTGGAGAATGAATAACAAGTAGTATAGGATTTTCCCGCGCCAGTGCGTGACTGGCTACTGAAACATCACCCACAGCACGCACTGGCACGTGCGTGATTGGCTCCTTGCTTATAACACAATATCACGTGATTGGCAGTCAGTGTGTTAAACAATTTTCCTTTGTTTAATTATTTAATTAACAACCTTGATAATGCAATCACTTTTAGATTTGCATCCAAGTTGTTTTTCTGAAATATTTTGAGTTCACTCTTTTACTTGCTTTGTTTATATATACTTATCTTTGGCTATAAGCCAAAAGATAAGTTGCCGATTTTATATTTCATTTATTGCTCTGAGTTTGTATTATTATTTTTCATATTTATTTATTTTGATTCTGATGTTTAATATTTTTTTTTATAAAAACATTTCAGTGTATGAGTGCAAAGAAAAGAAGCTTGTAATAATTCAACAGCGATCACCAATAGTATCTGTAAGATTTGTTTTATTATTATGAGTATAAGTTTGTTTAATACAGTTAATATGTATCGTTTTGAAGTAAAGAAATGTTTTTATTTCAGCATTTTTAACAATAAAATGCTATATATTTCATATATGTAGTGATTTATTATGTATTTCATAATACTGCAACATTATTATGTATTTCATTTGGGATGAGCTTTACAAAATAGGACCGTAATATATTCAGTGATTTCTCAATTAAGAAGAAGAAATAATATATGTATAACAAGTCATATTAAATGAAATATAACATCATTATAAGAATTAAAGCTTTTATAAAAGAAAATTTATTTTTATGTAATTTATCATTCTTATTTGTTTTTACCAGTCAAAACCAACATGTAACTGTATTTCATTATATTCTTATTATTTCTTTTTGACCACATTTTATTAAAATATGCTTTACATTCAAATAAATTTATTTCTTTCAGAGTAAAGTATGTGAATATCAAGCATTCCTGACTGCTTTCATTAAAGAGCACAAATTTAAAAAAACAGTCTTATTATCCAGTAGTTTTTCTCAGTTTTTCACTGTTGATGATCTTAGTGGGTATGGTTCTATTTTAATGCTTATTCAAAAATAGTTTTATCCCAGTTTTTACTTTGACCTTTCAAATATATGATTTTTCATTTTTTTTTTTTTTTTTTTTTTTTTTTTTTTTTTTTTTAACATTAGTATTTCCTTATAAGATTTCGTAATTCTGACTGAAATCATCTTCAAAGTCTGAGATCTGGAATCATTAAGATTTGGACGATGTTGAAAAATCCAGATTTTAAATCATTAATTTATATCTAGTAAAATAACTTGTAGAATTTATAAAATTTGAATTTTTTAATCTTGTTTTATCTATTGAAAAATACAGAGGGAAAAAAGGTAGCTTTAAAAAAAAGTTATCAATTTTGTATATATTTCTTTTCTCACTTAGTGTGATTTCAAATAGTCCGAAATATCAGTAGCATTGCTTACTGGGAATATGTGAAGTATTATAGTATTTAGAAATTATTAAAAGGAGGAAAATTTAAACATGTTTATAAGTGATGGTGATTTTTAATCCATGTAAATATTAATTCATTTTGATTTTGTGTTTTTTCATTTATAAATAAAAAGTTGTTTTAAAATTTTTATTTATAAATTGTGTTTCCTTTTGAAGGCAACATTTTGTTTTTCTTCCCTGTTCCTCCATAAGTTAAGTAAATGAATCTAATATAATTAAGATAAATTTATAAGTTGATATTAAAATTATTTGCTCCATTTTTTCCAAACTCAGCTAGAGTTTTTGAATACTTTTGTTTGAAACAATTTGCATGTTTATAAAAATAAATAATTTCATACATTTGCATTGGCTTAAATGTAATAAGCTGTTGATGTAATACCGTAATTTAAAATTTTCTTGAATTGTCATAGCAAAAAATAATAATTTTATAAATAGAATAGTTGCACTTGTTCAAAAATAATAAATTTTTATCATTAATCTGAAAATTTTGGATTACCTGTCAAGTGCTTTTTTCTTTTTAATTAAAAGTAATGAAGCAATAGAGAAACACATAATTTGAAGAAAACTTGATTGAATCACATAAGCTGTATTTTATTCTATGATTTTTTCCCATCTCTCTAGCAGCTGAAAAATCCCCCCCACTTTTTTTGAAAAAGTCATTAATTTATTTATAAAGAAATTATGCAGGTGCTGTTTGACAGTCTCTAAGGAAGTGCACTTTGGGCCATTCAGAGAATTTTAAAATGATTTGAAGAGATGAAAATTTGAGAGAGCAAGATCTGTTAGTTATAGGAGGTGACACAACACATCCCAGTTATACTCAATAAGTCTGTCTGACATTCTTTGAAATGTGAGGATAAACGTTGTCATGATGGAAGATAATACCTTAATAATTAATCAGTTCTGGGTTTTTCTCTATGTTTTCTTTTTTTAAAACTGCCATTTGTGGACAATATTTTTCGGAATTTATTGTCTGATTTGGTGGCAACAATATAATTCCTTTTTAATCTCACCTACACAAAGCATTACTTTTGTTAGATGCAGCCATGCTCTCAATGTTGCTAAAAGGAGTTTCATTTGATTTACTTCAGTATTTTTCCCTTGTAAGGTTATTGGATAGTAACCACTTCTTATCTCTATCTTATTTCTAGTGATGAACTGTTTTGAAAAAGGAGTTTCTTTATTTTGTTTCAGCAAACAATCACATGCTAAAATTTGACCAAGCATATTATGCTTTGTTTAAAATATCATAGTGGCATCCCACATCATAGTGGCTAAGGTACCCACTTTTCTTCAGATGATCATGTTCTGTATTTTTCTGAATATTTAGTCTGTCTTTTATGTCCTGAACAATATGCTGTGCTTCTTTTAATACATTCTTGTTTATTAGAGGATGATCAATTTGGAGTCGCCATCATCTTTGAAGCTGAAATTTCCATGTTTAAACTTTCTGAATCATTTTCAGACAGTGGCATCAAAAATAGCACTTTGTCTCTATACAGAGAAAATTTTACAAACAGTTTGTCTAGCATTTTTGTCCCTTTTTTATGTAAAAAGAACATGATTCTGCAATCTTAGCAATGATTTCTGAAACAAAAATTATACTGAACTAGAATTAAGAAGCATGAGCCAAAAAAGACCTTATTTACACATCTGCTTCAGTTAAGGTCGTACCTTATCAGCAGTAAGAAAATAATTAGAAGAAAATGCACTTCAATTTAAAAAACTATAGAACTTTGTGGATGACTTAATTTGTAAAGGCATGGTATAATTAATTTCTTTCCATTAAAAATCATGCTAGGTGTGTCTGATCTAAATTGTTCTATAAAGCAATGTATTTATGTCATATATGCTACATTCCTCCGTAGCATCATATTCACCTTTTGAAAATCTAATCAGTTTAAAAATTTGTCAATTTATTTATATAATCAGTTTTTAAATAATTAATTATCATTTGAGTGTTATTTGCTATGATTTTCATATTTGAACTTCTAACAAAGGAAGTTTGTGTATAGACAACAAGAAAAATTTAAATGTTAATGTTAGAATTGTCAGCCTCTCAAAATGATGGTTTTTTAAAGTATGATAAAATATGCATACATCTGGTGTTGCTGTTTTTAGTTAGTTTAATGTCAGATAAAGCTAAACAATCCATAAACATTATCATTCTCAAAATGGAATTTTTAAAAGCTAATTCATTAATGCCATTTACATTAAAATAGCTATTCACATATTGAACATTGATAGTTTTACTGTTAAATATCATCAGATAAGTTTAGATCCAAGAAATATGTACCATAAATCTATGAAAATTTATTTTGCTGTGCATTTTGCAAAGTATTATTAATAGTGTAGATATAAGTTTTAATGTTAGTTATATATAAGTGTATATATGTATATATATATATATATATATATTCATAGGATTAAGTTCTTTGAATATCAGCATTTGTTCATAATCCCTTCTATTCACGGAAATTTTTGGCCTGACTTGAATTGCCAGTTTGGCTTAGCCTTATAGCTCGAGTAAAGACGAAACACCTTCGTATTTATTTATTAATTATTGTTCATTGAATGGGAGTTGGTTTGTTCCCCTTAAAGAGTCAACTAATTTCTGATCAATGACAATGATTACATGCATTTAATTTAATTCTTGCCTTTAATTTATTCCTTTTACAACTGAAATTTTGTTCTTCATGATGATTTAATTCCAGTCCCTGTTAAAACATTATTAACATTTTACTTTCAAGTTACTTCAAAACATCTTTCAAAATATAACTTACTAGTATGGATTCACTCTTTTAAGATCATTCTACTTTAATTAAACTTAGGAGATAATATCCTTAATTAATCAATATTATTTAGTATATAAATTATTATTAACTTACTTTGCAGCAATTGTGCAAGTAGTAGTAACTTGTTTTCGCACTAAATGAATTTAAGATCATACAACATTATATATATATATTTCTTTTTTAGGATTCCTATGCATTATCTATGTTCTGTTAATATTGCCGATGAAGAAACGTTCAAAGACTTATCATGGAAGAACTTTTCTTTACCAAAAAATGTTAATTCTATTGAAACTTCTAAAATACCTGGAGGTGGAATTGCAACCACATTGTTAGATGATTGGTAAGCCCCCAGCCTCCTTTTTTCCTTAGTTTTGTGTCTGTGTGCAGCTGTATACACATACAAGGTTTATGCTGAAAGTAATGTGACCCATTTCCTTCTGCTGCGACTATCCATCACACAGCATTGCTGCTTACGTAGAAGGATGGGTGGAGTCTTTGGGAACACACTGCGACCAGTGCCAGTCGGCTCTGAGCTCCTGGACGGTCACAGTGCCTGCTTCAGTGAACTCTTGTGTGAGTGCTCAGTTGAAAAGATGGAAAAAACCCTCGAGCAATGATACACTATAAAGTTATAAGGTATTTCTCCCACCTTCTTAGCATGCCTTCATAGTGTAGTGGTTCTGCATGCTGGGCCTGTATTCCAGATGTCTGTGGTTCGATTCCTGGCGAAGGCGATTGCTCATTTTTCATCTTGCCTGCTTCCATATTAACCTAATGTCCCTACAAAGTTTACAAAGTTTTAAAACTTGAGAAAACGCCTTCAGAGACTTTTGTGTTGCATCAGAAGCATTTGTCCCCTCCCGACTTCTGTTTGTTCTTGAAGATTAAAAAATCCCTCAAAGGACAGGATTTGGGGACCCTGGAGAACATCAAGGCAGCTATGATGAGGTTACTAAAGGACATCCCTGTGACAGACTTCCAGGACGCATATAAAGCACGGAAATCGCATTGGAACAAGTGTGTTAAAGCAGGAGGGAATATTGAGTAATTGTACAAATCAGTTCAGTAAATTTCTTATAAAAAAAAAAAGAAATGGCTGCATTACTTTCAAGACATACCTTATATGTTTTATTTAGGACCAAAAAGTTCATATTTATCAAAATGTTGCAACTAACTGAGATTTAAAAACTGATGAACTGAAATCTCTCAAATATTTTATATAAAAACTATAGATTTTATATTGCTTTTTTTAAAATGAATGTTTCTGTTTGATTTCAATACTACTAATCTTTCCATTGTTTTAGTTTAAAGCATTTAACGTTATTTTAGGTTTGAATTTGAAATATTCAAAGCAAAATAAAAAAAATATATAAATTTGAATTGGATCTTTTTAAAGATTTTTTCAATTTTAGCATAAAATGTCAGATCCCTTATATATTCGTAAATATTAATTTACTCTCAGTTGAAACCTGCAATGAAGCACTTTGTTATTTAACTGCATCCATTTATGGTTGATTATCTGTACATGAATTTAGAAAAGGAATTTTTAGCATTAGTTTAATACTTTTTTTATTATGCTCAGAAAGTGCTTAAATATGTGAAACATGTAATCTAATTTTTATGTGAATAATAATGTAAAGTAGCAGCTACATATCTGCAAGGAATTTAAGCAGCATATGTATCCCACTATAGGACACAGACATTTTTTATAAAAAACATCTTTTCCTATAGTAGGTACATATGCTGGCTACTAATAAACATTTTACCCTTTTTATGACATTTTAAGATAACTCAAATCTCAATACTTTAGAATACTAAATTTATGTTATTTCTATATAAAAACAATGAAAAAAATTTTAAAGATTAAAATATTTATAAAAAACAACTTAATTACAAACTTTTTTTACATAGCATTTTAAGGTACTCTTTAAAATGTTAAATTATGACACTGAAAACGATTAAAATTAATGCTAAAGAGATTAAAATATTTATTAACCCGCGAGAACACGCAACGGGTATGTCATACCCGTGTGCATTTTTTGTTTTGTATATTTCTCACCATTCTTTCATAAAAGGACGAAACTTGGTGTAGCTGAGTTCAAGGTCACATACTTAAATGGGGGAAATTCCTGAGGTGACAGGTGCAACGGTTTTTTAGGAACAGCGTTGTTCGGGCATGTCATACCCAAGCGTGTACTCGCATTTCTCAGTGAATCACTTCGCACTTCTCATTTTCAAGCTTTTAGTATAGGTTTTTCTTGAGTTGTAAGCATGGCGCTGTATATTCCTTACGATGAAGAGATGAAAAGATTGAGAAATCTTCTTGAAACAGTTTCTTCTGATGAGGATTCATTTAGTGAAGATGATGAAGATGTTGATGACGAAGAATATAATAGTAATCATGATTCATCCATAGAGAATAGTGTGATTCAGATACAGAAACAGAAAATGAAACTGTGGAATGTAGCAGTGAGTTTTATGTTGGAAAAAATGGAGTAAAAAGAAACAAAAATAAATTCCGGACTAATGTTAGAATTGGTGCCAAAAATATTATAACTAAACTCCCGGGAAATACGAAGTATTCTAAAGACGTCTCAACACCTTTAGATTCCTGGTCACTGCTTATCGATGAAGATATGTTAAAACATGTAGTCGACAATACAAATATTTATATTGATTCAGTATGTCGAAATTTCACTCATGAACGGGATGTGAAAGCAACAAATGAGTTGGAAATCAAAGCTTTAATTGGATTGCTGTATTTATGTGGAGTTTATAAATCATCCCATGTGAACATGGCCTATGGTGATTTTCTTTTCAGTGTTAAACGTGGCTGCCATTAATGCAAGAATAATTCTACTATCAAAGAAGGAACCATCAACGGAATACCGTACCAGGCGTACGTTTCTCAAAGCTTTAGGGATGCAGCTAATAGAAAGTGTTCAAAATGAACGATGATGAGCATCTGTAGTTCCTGATTCTAAACAAACACTGAGCACCGATGAACATGTTAACAATGAACCCCCACCCACCCACCCCCCAAAAAAAACCTAAAATTACTTACAAGAGGTGTACAGAGTGCCCCAAGAAAAAAGATAGAAAGACCAGATTCATTTGTGAAAATTGTAGCAAAAGTATATGTATGGAACATATGACCTCATTTTGTAAGCAATGTTCAAAAATTGTAAGTAAATAATTTTACCTCTCCTTGTTCTTTCATATTTTGTCTAAAATGAAGTATTAACTTGGTTTTACATTTTAATTTCTTTTAAAAACCGATTAATTTTATTCGGCAAATTTTTAATTACAAATTTTTTATTCGGGTATGACATACCCGGCTCGTGCTCATCGGATCGGTGCGTGTGCTCGCGAGTTAAAAAATGAAAATAACAAAAATAGACATTAATATTAAAAACTACATTTTAAAGATTCTCTTTTCTAATTCAAACAAATATTTTCCATCAACCATAGCTTTATAACTGAATATGTAATTTCCTTTATTATTTTTTGATAGTATTGTCAGAAAGTTTTCCATGACATTTTTCAAGATAATACTCTTTTTTGTCAGCATCTACTTTTATTTTTACTGTACATGAATCTCCGGTTACAGCCGAAACTATCGCAGATGAAAACGTCGCGGAATAAACAATGCAAGGCGAAAACATCATGGGAGAAAAGAAAGCAAAGAGAAAACATCGGGGTCGAAAATAAAGTGGTTAGTTTAAAAACATCATCATCAAAAATATAGCAGTTAAAAAAAAAGTACCTACAGATCATCACATGACGATAACATTGTGCACATGCATTTTTCAAGTTTTTAAAGTTGTAAATGCAATTTTGCGTAATGATTTGGTAGCACAAGAAGGAAAGAGGTGAAAATGTTCACAGCACTTTAAGAATAAATGGAAACAAAACAAGATATAATTTTCACTAATACAATAACTGATTAACAAGTTGTGAAAGAATATAATTTGATAATTAACTAAGCAAATTTGATAACCTGATGCAGTTCTTTATCTTCCTTTTCCTAAACATTTTTAGACTATATTTTTCATGAAAATTTATCAGTTATAAATTAATAAAATAAAATTATAAAAAATTAATAAAATTTGTAATTAACTGTGTAAATTTAAAATTAAGTACTGTAAGTTGCATTAATTTTCTTTTCATTTTTTCATTTTTTAAATGCTTAAGTTTTCTTTTTACTTTTTCAGCAAAAATTTATTAGTTCATTCAAAAATATGAAGTATAGAAGTAAAAATATCCCTCTTTCCTTCTAGCACTCCCAAATCGTAATATGATAATGTGAAAATGCACTTACTTTTAAAAACCTGACAACACATGTGTGCAATGATTTGTAGTTACTTTATTTTTTACCACAATATTTTTGACAACAATGTTTTTAAACTGGGAAGTTTAAAAACTGCTTTATTTTCGACTACAATATTTTGCACCATGATATTTTAGAACTGTGATGTTTTCTCTTTGCTTTCCTTTTTTCCACGATGTTTTGTACTGCAGCGTTTTTGCCTTGCAATGTTTTCTCCGTGACGTTTTCATCTACAATTTTTTTGGCGGACACTGAATCTACATATCAAATTTGCATTTTTTTCAATAAGATCAGATTATATCTCCCAGGCTCTAAATCGTTTAACTAATCTTAAAGTTTTAGGATAATATCCAAGACTATTGAATTCATCCATTTTTAAAGGCTTTTTTATTTAGGAATATATTTATTAGTAAACATATCTTTTGAGATTCGCACATATATGAGATTATAATATAGTGATTCGGTACTTTTCTGTTTTGCTGGGCAGTAATGGTACAACTGATGCCAAAGGGAATATTCTTGCTGGTAACCTTTTATGTCTTATTTTCAAAACAAGTTGCAGCCATTTCTTATCAGATTGATTGTTTCTTTCAATACTTGCATACAGTTAGGTATAATTTTTACCAGATAGTTTAATTTTATGGCCCTACGCCATTCACGGTAATTAAGTCAATTAGGATGCAATCACACCACTCACCCGAAGGCAAAAATATAGAAAAGGCAAAGTCAAGGATTAAATTCATCAATTCTAATGAGAATGCCCTAGCGAAGTAAAGCACTGTGGTTTTACATAACTTCTGAGTAAGCTATTCGTACAAATTGAAATAATTCTTGCATTTAAACTTGTATTAATGTAGATAATTACTGAGAGAATTAGATTTTTGTAGCGTAATTTATGTGAGATGGGATAAACTTGGGGTCACGTGATATGAAGTGGCGAATCAGGATGTTGAATCATGAAAGCATAGTAAATTCTTGGATTAATGGCTTTTTACAAATTTATTGTCTTT